GATTCTGTTATTGGAGTATCTTGCTTTCTTTGACATGATTTGTTCCCTTTTTTTCTCGTGTTCTTTGTGTGTCTACCCATCTATCAGTATGGATCTGAGGCAGTAGAATTTCTACTCTGGACTTTTAGTGTCCCTGAAGGCTTCCAGTACTTCACTATTTAGGGGRAGACAAATAATAACAACCAAATGCAAACAATATACAGCATTAAACCAAATAGTTCCTACTATGATGTTTACAATGTTAATTATCACAATAAACAGAAATGATATGATCAGTTATTGCCTACAATAAAAACAGCGAGTTTGCAAAAAGGTTTATAATTTCAAATGGTGGACAGGGAGAGAACAGAAGTGATATAGGATTCGATGATTATGAGGGAGGAGGAGAGAAGAAGAAGTAAAAAATTAAAGGAAGAGTGAAAGAACAATAGAGATTGGCTGTTATCAGAAGAAAAGAGAGAATCAAGGAAAACTAGTAGGAGAAAAAATATATATGAATAAAAATTTTTTAAAAATAAAATAAAAGAATACAAAACATAACTAAAACATACTAATCAAACATTCTAGTTCATAAAATAACTAATCCATAAAAAATAATTGGCTTCAAAAATGCTAGAAATGAGAAAAAAATGAATATGTATAAATGTCCATGTACCATTAAGGTCACAATTATACAGAGAAAAAGAATTAAAAAAAAGATCTTGATGAAAAGTTAAAGAATTCTTTCTGTTGGGGTTCAAAATATTCTCAGCTTCTCTTGTCGGCAGTTTTAGGTGGGAGTCTTCTAGAGTTGTGATGCTCCACCCTCTGGATTGCTGGAGTGAGAGAGGTAAACCAGTAAGCAGAGTTCCTGGAGGCAGGGTTTTGATTAGATGCTCCATTGTTTGGGGCTCTTTGCTGAATGCAGATAGGTCTGGAGATTTTAAATCAGTGCACCTCCAGTACCCAGTACTTGCTTGTCCACACTGGAAGACTGTACCCCAGGGATGAGTAGTGGGGGAACCAATTCTTAGTCCCCTTCCTTGCCTTCTGACCCCATGTTTCCTGGTCTTGTGTTCAGTCTCCAAACAATATCTTYTGCCCATGCCAGTTCAGTAAAGTCACCCCACTTTTTTTTTGTTCATCCATTCTTTCTGAGAAGCTGCCTGTCTGCTTTCTTGGTTTCACTCCTTGGGGCAGCTAGGAAAGCGACCTCCTCTATTCTGCCATCTTGAAAACCCTCAATATATATCTTTTCAATGAACTACTTATTCATAAACAAATAAGTAGGTGAAAAATGAACAACCCAGTAGAAAATTGGCAAAGATCATTAATAGGCAGTTTTCAGAAAAAGAAATATAAATGGCTAACACAAGAAGATTATCAATCACACTTAAAATTAAGGAAGAAGAGATAACAAAACGCCATTTTTCATCTAAGAGTCTTTTTTCATTGAAGGTGAAAAGATTGATAATAACCAGTTTTGCAGGAATGTAGAAAAATGGACAGTCTCTATGTGGGAGGCCATCCTCACACGTGATTTGAGTTACCTCCCAGGCTGGATGAGAGGCGTTGGACACAGCGGTGTTAAAGCCATCCCACACCCTGTCCCAGGTACGAGGGCTTGTCCATGCAGAGGCGTGCCTAGCCACTGATCTGAAGACCCAATCAATGGCCCTGACCTTGGGATGCTGTCCCCCCTTAACCTTCATTGGATGGGATTTTCCCTTGAATTTTTTGTTCCCCAATAGAAGCTCACTCCCTGGTATTCTCTCTCTCTCTCTAGTCTCTTTTGTAAACCTCGAACAGCATTAGGTGGCTGGAGGCGGGAGCTAGGGTTAAAGGTAATGACAGTCTGTCTCTTTAATTTAAAACTCACTAGCAATTTCTTGTGCATTGAACCTTCTTCTATGAAGCTCGTGCTGGTTGCGTGGCAGATCTCTACTATAGGCAGAACTATAAAAGGATATAATCTTTTTAGAGGGCAATCTGGCAGTATGTATCATAATTTTTAATATGTTTTCCTTTTATTTTAGCCAATTCACTTCCAGGAAGTTCTCACAACATATATGAATACAAATGTGACAAACTATATATATTTATACCTAYATATGGAATATACATATTATATATCTATGCAGATACACATATATAATGTTGGTCATGTAGGATCATTTATTGTAGATTTCTTTCCTTTTTTTCTTCGTTTAGTACTGGGGGTTGAGCCCAGGGGTACTTCACCACTGAGCTACATTCCAGTCCTTTTTATTATATATATATTTATTTTAGTTGGACACAACACCTTTACTTATTTATTTGTTATTTATTTATTTTTATGTGGTGCTGAGGATGGAACCCAGGGCCTTGGACGTACTAGGCGAGTGCTCTACCATTAAGCCACAACCCCAGTGCCCCCCTGTCCTTTTTATTTTTTATTTTGAGGTAGGGTCTCACTAAGTTGCCGAGGCTGGCCTTAAACTTGTGATCCTCCTCCCTCAGTCTCCAGATTAGCTAGGATTACAGGTGTGTGCCACTGAGCTTGGCAGGACTATTTATCATAGAAAAATGCTGGAGAAATTTTAAATGTTCATCAATAGAAAACTGGTTGAATAACATAAGGTTTATCAATATAATGGAAAATAATGAGTGTAGTAGATCTACATGTATTGTCTTAATATCTAAGTGAAAAAAGACAATTGTGGAACTAAGCTTTCATTTGTGCAAAACAAAAAGCTACAGTATTTCTTTTCTAGTTGTCATATATAAATCTAAAATCTGAGACATATTCTCCCCTGAGTTTAGGTACTTGGATTAATTTGGTTTCTGAACCCTCACTGTACCACACATTGTATAGGAACTTAAAAGAAAGTAGACTTTATATTGAAGGATTCACATCTATAATGAATTCTCTGTTTCCTTAACAAAGAGAAATATTACAAAATATTAACCCCCTTCTGAAATAGCCCAAGGTGGGATACTTACTGGATATCCAAAAAGAGCGTTGAATTCTCTGTTGTTGGCTTGCAGAAATCTCTCATATTCTGGAGGTGGGGTGGGGGGAGAAGAGAAATGATAAGAATGATGGACCTCTGCAGATCAACCTGGGATGCTGGCTGCTAGTGAAGACTTTACTAGGTTCCAACACTTTCTTGCTGAGGATATTTATTTAAAAATGGGATTTTTGTCTCTTTATTCAAAGAAATGAATAATATATTTCAAGGGGGGAAATCCTCAAGTCTTCAAGCTTTCTGGAAGAAACAGGACAAGAACATCCTGAGAATCTACACATTAATCCTTTGTAAGTGCTTTCTAGATTATGTCTCTGCAATCATAACTGMTAAACACAGAAATCCAGCCCTCCCTCACAAATCAATTTCAACAACCTGTCTTAGGCTAACTGAGGCTCTTTTCCAGGCTAGGTTTCCTAAACTTTTCATGATATTGTTCCTGTATGAAATATATACATATATATATATTTATTATACACATATATGTATGTATATAAACATGTTTGGGTTTTGTTTATTTTGTTTTTCATCCATAGTTCCTGGCTCTTAACTCCCTCTCCAAGGCAGGCCAAAGAAACTAAAATGTCTCTTTCCAAAGGAAGGTTGTGGAAATTCTAATCTTTCTGGAGCTGGCCATAAAAAATTTCTCTGACTTACCTTGTCTAATAGTTAAGTCATAATACCCCACCTCATTCCAGAGGGTTCCTACCTCATACTCTGGAGGAAGGAATGCTGCACAGACAGGCCTTGTTGGGGTTCCCCAYCAAGTCTATTAGCTTTCATGCCTATGCAATAGTCTCCATTAAACCCCCAAAGGATAGGGTTTGGAGAGCTTTAGGACAGATGAACAAGTGGAGAATCCCAGCAAGGTGAACAAGGACTCACATAGACACTTGGAGGATGTTGTACCCCACCTCCACAGGAACAGAAGCTCCTGAGCTTGAGACCCTTCCAGACCTTACCCTGTATATCGCTTCATCTGACACTTGTCTCCTTTGAAATATCCTTTATAATGAACCTGAAATTTTAAATATGTTCTCTGAGCTCTGTGAGCTGCTTTAGCAAATTAGACAAACCTGAGGAGATAGTATCAGAACTAAACTGGATTAGAGTGCATTCAGCTCTTATGTCTGCTGCTGCAAAATCAATTGCTTACTGGTAGGGAGCAATCCCCATACCTTTTGAGGTCACAGAAGTCTTCTCTGTGGATTGTGATGAAAGCAGAGGACAAACAGACAGACAGACWGTTTTCTCTGACATGCTTGCTTAACTAAATTTAAATTATTAAATCATCACTAAGCATCTATTACACAGAAGCCAGTGTGCTGTGGTGGGATAAAAAGACGAATAAGACAGAATATCAAATTTTAATGTAGTAGGTCTGAGTCTGATAACTACAATATAAGACAAAATCATCCTATCAAAACAGAGGTGTTGGGCTGGGGTTGTAGTTCAGTGGTAGAGTGCTTGCCTAGCACTCACTTGTGTGAGGCACTGGGTTGGATTTTCAACGTTGCATATAAATAAATAAATAAATGTCGATTGACAACTAAAAAAATACTTTAAAAAACAGAGGTTTTACAACTATTAGAAATAATGAGGTTATTGACATATTATGAAAAATTTAAATGTATAGATCTGTCTTTCAGTATTAGTGGGGGATAGGTTCTAGGGCCCTTGGGAATTCCCAAATTGATGATGCTCAAGTTTCTTATATACAATGGTGTAGTATTTGCATATAATCTATCTATGTACATCCTCCTGTATACTCTAAATTAWGCATAATGACCCACTGAAAAGTAACTAAGAGGAATAAGGAGGAAGGGAGAAAAGGAGAGAAATTCAGTCGATCAGCTGTCAATCATGCTTAGAAGATTCTGAGCAAATATCCCCTTGCTTATAATGGGAAATGGATCACAAATGAGATTTTCCAGCTAAAAATGAGATGATTGTCAGGAATGTATATTAATCAAGGCCTCTGCTTTTTATAGTTATCCATACTGACAACTCAGTTAAGACCAAATGTTGGCAAGGGAAACTCAGGAATGACTCCYTGCTGTATGACCTAGGGGATTTCTGCCAAGTCACTTAATGCCTGTGATAGAAATTTCTTTCCCTCTTTCCTTGTCTAAAAAAATAAGTGAGGAGAGCTGCAATGGGATGGATATTTGGTCCATTTAAGTTGGAATCAATTTACATTAGGTGGTCAAATCACATAATCTAAAACATTATAGCTAACAGATTTAGTTTACCATATGGCTTATAACCTTGTCTAAACTCCCAGATGTCTGGAGTGCAGCAGATGATATCTTCACATAAAGAATGGTAAGAAGTAGCAGGGCATGGTGATGCATGCTTTTAATCCTAGGCTGAGGCAGGAGATCATAAGTCCAGGCCACTTAGCAAGACCTTGTCTCAAAATTAAAATTAAAAAAGGCTGGGAATGTACTTCAGTGGTTAGAGTACCCTGGTTAAATACTCAATTACCACCCCCCCCACCCCCAAAAAAGGTAAGAAGCCTAGCTAAATGACATGACAGAGAGATCATGGGTAAGGCCAGGACCTATTGCYCTGTAGGAGAGGCAATAACTAATTTGCTTTCTCACCACAGTTTCATTTCATTACATAGCTAATAATGCTATGTCCTATGTTCTATAGTCAAATCCTTTGTCACACTTATAATACCATATTCCCCCSACTCAACAAAGAACTCCTTAAAGACAGAGAACATGAGACCTACTTTTTTAGATTCTGCGTATAAGTGAAATCATTCARTATTAGTCTTTATATGYCTTGCTTATTTCAGTTAACATAATATCTTCAAGGTTCATCCATATAGTCACAAATGACATATTTTCCTTCTTTTTATGACTGAACAGTATGATGGTTACCAGGGACTTGGGGCAGTGGTGGGGAAAGGGGTTGGTAGGTGTTAATTCAAGGTTACAAAATTTCAGATGGGAGGAGATCTATTTTACAACATGGTGACTACAGTTAATAGTAATATATAGCAACTTTGAAAATGATAAATAGGTTTTATGTGTTCTCATTACAAAAATGATAACTATGTTAATTAGCTTGATTTCACCATTCCATAATGCATATATATACACAWATAAATATAACATATACATATGTTATTTATATATGTATATATGATATAATTAGCTTGATTTAGCTATTCCACAATGCACACAYATATATATACACATATATAATATACATATATATGTTGTTATATGATATATGTATGTATATAATATTCTGAAATATGTATTGGAATATATATTTCAAAACATTAGGTACAAAATAAATATACATTTTTGTCAAATTTTTTAAAAAGATGGAGACCATGTCTTTTTTTCCCCTTTCTTATTTAAGGGAAAATAAGAAAAATTAGCTCAGCATTAGTCCCCAGATTTAATAAAGATTTGTTGAATGAACAAGCACATAACTGAAAAGATGGTTACAAGAGTGTTTTGCCAAATTGAGGTCAGATTTCTGTCCAAACCCCTCCAATGGAGGATAATCCCCTCCTCCTGTGGAAGGATCTGCATAATCACAGAACATCTGGGCTGAGAGAACACTCAGCTAAGGCTAATTTTTTTTTTTAACCTTAACTAAAGTCAGTTAACAGGAGGCTGTTAAGCATGGCTGAAGACAATATGTAGATTTAGTGTTAAGAAAAGCCTGCAGAAGAAGCTAAGTCCAAACCTTGAGCTCTCACAACTCCATCCCCTAGAGGATCACTGTCTAAACCGGTTAGGCAAACTAATTGTAATGCTGCACCTGGCACAATGGCTGGCACTCATTTGGTAATCAATAAATATTTGTTAAATAAATGAATGAATTAATTAGTCCTTATTGATGATATTCATAATTTTCATTTGCTGAGAACTTACTACTCCTGAAAGATTTCTGTTCTCCATATTTTTTCCCCATAAGAAGATGTTGGAGAAGTTGGTCAATTAACCCTGTTTTCCTCAGATCTCTCTCCTTTGGCTCTCCTGAGGGGAGAAAGGACTCCCTTGGCTTTCCCTCTGAGGCATTTCCTGACTTCCTCCTGGAACCAGGGCCTTTCCAATGGGTTCTCTCCAGAAAGGAATAACCTACTCAATGACAAAATGCAAAAATGGTACAGTGTGGCCTTTATTCAGTGAACTAATTTCAATCTCTGCACCATCTATCGTCATTCCTTAAAAGGAAGCCTACACGTAAAACTACATTCTGGTCTGCTTTTTCAAAATTTCATGTCAGAATTTAAAAACATTTTTACATGCCAGGTAGTTCCATTCTGAAAGATGGCTTGAGTATGATTAATCTAGTTTCCTTTAGTATCTTGATTCCCCAAAGGAAATCATGGAAATGGTATGGAAATCCTCCCTAACAACACAGCCAGATCCATTTGTTCTGCCCACAGAAAGACTGCAAGAGGACATTAAATGCCTCAGTAACTTCTTTTCATCCTGACCAGCTCTTTTTAGCAGGAGACAGTTGTGAAGGATAGAGAGAGGAAAGGAAGACAATGCTTTCTTGTGAAACTCCAAACTCTGGAAAATTATAAAAGATGAGAAATTGCAACTACTCAAATTAGAATTCTTAGATGACAAAACAGAGGAACTCGTTACTTCTACAAAATATATTTCCCTTCCTGGTCATTTGTTTGGTAGGTTAGTAGTTTGGACAGTCTATTTACCTGCCATAAACACATACGTATATACACAAACACTTTTCAGAGGCAATAATAAGAATRTACAGATTTGATTTTATTTCTTTTCCTGAGTCTTCCTACCTCTTCCATCGAATCCGTGCTCACTTTGGATTTCTGTTAGAGACATTGCAGAGTAGTACCTACTACAATCCCATGGAATCTCTACAAAGAAAATAAAAATATTTCRAATGAGATTTTTTTTAAGCTGACACTCTTTCATTTAATTTGAAATTTTGAAATCCAAAATAATACCCCCTAACATACATAAGCTAGGTTTTAGAATTCACTCCATTCATTTATTCTTATCAAAAAGTTAAAATTTCAAAGCTTGAGAAACAGATTGCACTTCCTGGCAACAAAGTCTAAATTGATGACTATGACCCATCCATAAAAGGCAACTGAAACTTAGAAACAGGTGAATGAAGWTACTGGGTGATCTTTTAATGCAATTTTGGGTTTATATCTTTGATTAGTTTTCCAATTWATTTTTGGACTATTTTATAATTGCTTGAGGCACAGGTTAACTTGTAGATTTTTATCCAGTAGAGATACAAATATTTCTTGTCCTATGGAAAAGAACTCCAAAGGTTATGACATATTTCACTTTAGGACATTATTTAATTCTATATGTAATTCAGAAATCTTAACATTTCTTTATTAAATTTCCTATAAACATTTAGCTCCGAAATTTTCATTTGAACTGGTCTTAACATCTGATTGATTCTCTCATTAGTCAATGAATTAAATAAAACTTTTGATACC